AAAAATATACATATAGTGTTTATTCTCCAGTAAATATTTAAATTAAGGATTTGTTATATATTTCTAATCTCAATTGTTAAATTGCATTCATTAGATGTGTTAGTAGATTTAATATGTAATACACATGAAATCCAACAATTGAAAATCTCGAGATTAGAAATATGAAATCAATCTTTAACATAAAATACTTATTGGAGAATTTTCCCACTACCAATGTGTTGTGTGGTAGTGTTGTGGGGATCTCATCTGAGTAGACCTACTGAGAAGTCTGAGGTGAGTTGTCTGGGATACTTTGATTAAGGTGGGTGGGCAGAGACCGGGTCAAACTGACGAATTAAGATCCAAAGGCTGGTCATATTGTCGTCCATTTCCTAAATTTTGAATTTGGTGAGATTTGTATGTCGATGGTGGTGGGCGCATAATGAAGAGGCAAAGACAAGCAAGCAAACTACATGGATTCCACTGGCAAAATGATTTAACGAAAAAGGACAAACCTCGCTCTTTATAGTTCTATCAACAACTTAAAAGCACACTGTATGCAACTACCAAAAAAGAAAAAAGAAAAAAAAAGGAACAGCATAACATCAAAGTCAACTTGCAGAAGCACTAAAACATTGTAAAGAACACCACGTTGGGTATGACAGTGAATCTCCCTTCATATTACTAGCCTAACTGTAGTTTGTAGTCTATATTAATGAAATAAATAAGGATGAGATTTTTGTAAATTTACAACTTCACAAGCAAAAGTTACATGATGAACTGCTCGAGAAGAGTATTGGCAGAAAAGATAAAAAACCATTACAAAGAACATCTCAAGAAGTGGGTTTTCCATCTCTCTTGAGCAATTCCTGAAAAGAAAAAAAATCAGATGCAGTAAGCGAGCCAAGCATAAAAACACTGATTTTTTTTCTTTCTCTTTTTCATATCAAATTTTCACTACCAGTTTGGTGGCAGTAATTGATTGACGTTGCCTTTCTTTCTTCTCACGCTGGCACTCTCCACACCAGTTAGAAGAATCTTTCTGATACTTCTTCAGCTCTCTAAAGACCGAACTACAAAAAGATTGGGGATACACACTGAGAAAATTGATAAACAGAAATGCATAATTAAAGATAATCCTTGCAGTCAAGCCCCATGATTGACATTTACTGTAAGAAATGCTTAGAAAGCTTCTACAAAACTGATTGTCATTTACTCAAACAGCCGGCAAGCAGAAAATTCCTAGAGTCCTAATGACAACCAATATCCTTGACCCCAAAAAGAAAAACTCAGTATGACCTGATACCAAACCATGAACAAATTGGTACGTTGCATTAATTGGATACCTATTCCACATAGAGCAGATACATGAAGTACTAAAAGTCAGGGAGATTGTGAAATCCTTAAAAATGCTTCAGTTAGGTTTCTTGAATTTCTTTTAAGGGGGCCTCAAAGAGGAGAAAGGTACCTTCTGCACCACAGTAGTAAGTTGACTCGACACCCCGATGTTGTGGCTCTAGCACCATGCCGATGGCGACCACGATGAAGAACCGCATGCCCCGGAACATGAGAATAATCAAAGATTTCCTATGAGTACAATTACAAAAATTCCAAGAAAAAAGTTCAATAATTACACAGTAAACTGTAAAAAAAATATTAAATATAAAAATAAACATGCAACTTGCTAGTTACCATTTATCATGAA